AGCAGGACATACACAATATACAGATGTAGGTGGAACTTAACGGATATATTGGTTTGGAAAAATAAGTTTCATGATTCAGCCTATGTTTAAAATCACAGTACATCTTTAGGAGAAACTTAAAGGTTTAAAAAAATCCAGACAGCAGCATATTTGCTGCTAATACTCAAGATGTAGAAGTCTGGCCTATGAGAAGGTAGGTGGGTGGTACTTGCCATGATGTGCCCTGATGTGACTGCTAATTAGTAACTAGACTCATTTCTAGAAGCCCAGAGCAATCATTCTCTCAATACAATGTTGATGCCATAACTCTATGGATGGTCAACCTGAAACTTTACCTGTTTCTCTGCACAGAATTAGGCTGAAAGTAGTACCAGCAATTTGTTATTTCAGACTTCCAGCATCTGCAGAATTTTGCTGTTGGAACAATGTTACCAGCAATCTCATGCTGACCAGGTCCAGAATTTTTTTTATAATGAAGTAAACAAACCACAGAAAAACTCTCAAATTTTAAAACTGGTCACTCTACCAATACATGCATAATAAAGCACACGCTCATACTTCATGCAATGTGAATCTCAGATAACACGTCCTGCACTAGTCTGTGTTCACCAATTGAAAATTGCAGTTATCTACATATGAATTCCAACATTATCATAGGGTGGCACGGTGGCTAGCACTGCTGCCTCACAGCACTAGGGACCCGGGTTCGATTCCACCCTCAGGCGACTGTCTGTGTGAAGTTTGCACATTCTCCCTGTATCTGCGTGGGTTTCCTCTGGGTGCTCCGGTTTCCTCCCACAGTCCAAAGATGTGCAGGCTAGGTGGATTGGCTGTGCTAAATTGCCCATAGTGTTCAGGGATGTGTAGATTAGGGTGATAGATATGGGTGGGATGCTCTTTGTGTCAGTGTGGACTTGTTGGGCTGAAGGGCCTGTTTCCACACTGTAGGGATTCTATGATCATATAATTAGCAACATCTTTAAACTTCATTCTGTTGCGTTAAATTTATCATACATCTGCATCCTCATCAGTTGAGTATACTGCTTTTGAGGCATTAGAACTTGTTAGTGTGTCTCCTGTAGCCCAGTCCAGGTCTACATATCAAGTAGCTGTCTTGGGACAGGTTAATGCTTAACTATTACTAGTTGAATTTCATTCACATCAACGATGTATCCCATACTAAATTTAAAACTTCTCCAGAATGATATGTTTACCTCGAAAATAAACAGCACTAGACCAAATAGAGTGGAAGTTTTATTTATAATGTACCGACGTGACCAAAATTATTCTTGAATATGCATTTTGATTTCAGCTGAGAACCATTAAGTCACACCCACAGCTCTACATGTCAGACTTCTTGATAGCATTGATAGAATCCCTACAGTGTGCCAACAGGCCCTTGGGCCCAACAAGTCTACATTGACTCTGAGCGTCCCACCCAGATCCCTCCCCCTATAACCCACCTAATCTAACCTACACATCCCTGAACACTATGGGCAATTTAGCATGGCCAATCCACCTAGCCTACACATCTTTGGACTGTGGGAGGAAGCTGGAGCACCCGGAGGAAACCCACGCAGACACGGGAAGAATGTGCAAACACCACACAGACAGTTGCCAGGAGGCTAGAATTGAACCTGGGTTTGTGGCGCTGTGTGGCAGCACTGCTAACCACTGAGCCACCGAGCCACCATGCTGTCCCAACTGCAAATTGCACTTGAGCCAAAAAACCTGCCATCTCCTGATCCGTAGTCAGGCACGTTATCAATTGCACCACTGGCCCTATCTTGTGTGGTGAACCAATTCAGGAGAAGAGGGCAAATTTAGAAGATTATTCATTTTCTCCACAAATGCTGCCAGAATACAAAATGTTTTTGATGCAGATTATGCTGTTTTTCTTCAATTTTGCATTCATAGCTGTTATGCTCACACAATAGGAATTCAACAAAATTTTATGCAGGAGCGGGAAGTCATAATTAACTAACACGAGGGAAGTACACACTTGGAAGAGCATGGTAAATGAAGCGGTGCTAACTCAGCCCTATCAAGGGAGGTCACGCTTGACACTCAAGGTGGTAGTGAACAAGTTAAAAGGGAGTCAGTGGACGTGCTCTATTTGATTTCCAGAAGGCCTTTCACAAGGTGTTGCAAAAGAGGCTGCTGAATAAGAACCCATGGTGTTAGGAGCAAGGTATGTCATGGATAAAGGATTGGCTGACTGCTAAAGGCAGACAATTGCAAAAAGGGGTCTTTTTCAGGATTGCAGGCAGTGACTACTGGAGCTCTGCAAGGATCAGCATTAGGACCACTACTATTCACAATCTGGATAAAGGAACTGAGAGGCATTGTTGCTAAGTTGCAGGTGACAAAAATAGGTGGAGGGACATGTAGTGTTGAAGCGGCTGGAAGGCTGCAGAAGATGTACAAGATTTCCATATTAGTGTACAAGATGATGAGAGGCATAGATAGAGTGGATAGTCAGACACTTTTTCCCCCCCAGGGCGGAAATGGTTTGGGGGGCGGTGGGGACATAATTTTAAGGTGATTGGAGGAAGGTATAGAGGAGACGTCAGAGGTAGGTTCTTTACACAGAGAGTGGTGGGTGTGTGGAATGCGCTGCCGGTAGTGGCAGTGGAGTCAGATACTTGAGAAAGTGTAAAGTTATGCACTTTGATAGAATGAATAGAGGTACTGACTATCTTCTAAACAGAAGAGTCTTTGGAAATCTGAAGCATAAAAGGGACTTAGGAGTCCTAGTTCAGGATTCTCTAAAAGCTGACATGCATGTTCAGTCGGCAGTTCAGAAGACAAATGCAAAGTTAGCATTCACTTCACGTGGTCCACAATTTAAGAGCAGGGACGTGCTGCTGAGGCACTAGTCAGACTGGATTTGGAATACTGAGAGCACCTGGAGGAGGCAGAATAGGGTAGAGAAACATATCAGGCATGATTAAATGGCAGAACAGTCTTGATGAGGTGAATGGCCTGAATGTGCATCCATGTCTTATGGTTTGCCAATGTCATGAATGCATTTAAATGCAGCTTTTACTTCACTTGGCAGCCCAAGAAATGTTCCTCAATTCAAGTCTGCTGATTTGTCAAAGCCTCACTCTGGGACACTTTAGCATGTAAGCTTACCTAGTGGTGCAGTGAACTTATTCAGACAGTGCCGCCATAGGCTACAAATTTTTCAGAGATGTAACACACTCTATTCATATAGGCGGATACAGAGATACACAGGTCCAAATCACAAAGGGCAGAACAAAGTGATTAGCAGACTGGTGATTGCTTACTCAGCTGGAGTGGGAGGAAGATGACCAAATAGGAGAAATGAACACTTGTGTAAGTAACAATGAAAACAGCATTCAAGTAGCAAGTCAGTGGAGTCACAACCATCTGCAGAGTATCAAAAGTCATCCTTATTTGTCTACACTGCTACTTAACCCCACCATTAACACAGGTGTTAGATCACAAAAGTCTCTTCTCCCACAATAAAATTGAAGCAACAGATTGGAAATAGTAGTGTTCACAGTTCTATCTGGCTCACATAAACCTATGATGGGCAGAAATAGGCCAGACAGCCCATCAAGCTTGCAGCATACTTGATATGACCACAGCATTGTGAATAGAATCTTCATGAATGGTCTGTATTTTGTAGAAACATTCCATGCATCAATAGACTGTGAGACAAGACATTAGATTGAATAGTGAAGACATTTAGTAATTACATACCTATCTTTGACATCTTATTTCTAAGGAGATGGTTGCTAATCATAGGTCATGCATCACAACTGCTTATTACTGGAATGAACGGTAGCTAATGATGCCAAGTTCCAAGTTTAACTTCTAGAATGATGGGAATTTTATTGTTGATTTTTGATTCAGTCACATGATGTGGACTTTGTGGACTCTGCAGGCATGGCCAGCATTTATTCACCCTCTCTACTTGCTGTCCAGAAGGTGATGAGCTGCTTTCTTGTAACTGCCGGAATCTCACCTTGCTTTTCAATCTGGAAGTACAGCTTTCCAGCAAAAAAATTATGAATGTATAAAATATCTAATGAGGTTGTGCATGTGATAAGTGGAAGGAAAAGTAGAATACATTCACAAATCAGTTGAATTCTTTAAACATAAATCAACTTGACTCCTAGGCGTCACTTGCAACACAAAGGGCATGGCCAAGGAAGGGGTCAAGTCTCACTGTGGACACACAAACTTACCTAATATTAGTAATACTGTACAAGGGCTTTTGTCAGAAACTGCAATTTTTCAGAGGAGATTACACCCCATCCACCGAGTCTACTCACTCATGCAAAAGATCCAAATCATTTGCTATTATTAATAGGAAACTTCAGTGATTCCCACCAACATTTAACACATCTCCATACTGAGCCTACTTGATGAAGTTGACAAAGTAATTCAGTGTCTGCAAAATACTTTGGAACAGCGGAAGATATCTGCCTAAGTACCGTTTTTCCCCACCATTCAAATAAAGTAATTTATGGTGCTAAAAAGCTCGACAGAGCCAACTCATGCTCTCTCTACAACCAATGAAAAGATAAAATTTTAATTGACAACTTGGAATTAACAGAAAAAGTTGGGAATTATGAGCGAACTGCTTGTGCTGCTCATCCACCATCACTAGAACAGTGCAGAGGCTTAGTGATGACAGATATAATCATAATACATCAACACAAATGGATACTACAGCACCAGCTAATAATGTGCAAGTATGTCACATGCAGGTCAGACTGGGTAAGAAGAGACTTCCTCCCTGTAAGCAGGATAGCCAAACAGATTTTTTTTTAAAACCCCAATCCAGTTTCATGAGGTTTTATTGCATATTTAATTAATTGAATTTAAATTCATCCAACTGTCACAATAGGATTGAACTAATTAACCTCTGGATTAATGGTCCAATAGCCATTATCACAATGCTACTGCCCCCATACAACTAAAACAAAATGTTTCATGGAAGAATATTGCACAAAATAGTTGACGACATTCAGGCTGAATTTATTAAATATTTATTTCCATTTGCAAAAAATTAGTGTCCCCTGTTGCTTCAATGTTTAGTCATTCTGTTGCAGTAATATGAAAAAGTAATTAGTTTATGATTGTTATACCAAGACAGAAAGTATGGCTGTAATCTTTCAACATGGAAGCTAGGAAAAAAGTATGCAAATATAGTTAGTTGAGACAAAAATCCAAGAAAGCAAATTAATTGTTCAATAAAACATTTCAATTTTAGTTATCAAATTCAATATTTTCGGAGACCATATCTACAACAGGTTGAATTTAGCAACATTTTAGTTCATACACATGAACAAATTCCATTAAATAGTTCTGGAATTGAAGTTTAACGCTACATTCAGTGAAAGCTTTGGATACTTTGCAGTGGGATAAACAAAGGCCAGTTATGTAAAAATTTATTAAAAACTTAAAAAAAAAATCACTGTAGTAATAACCAAGTTAAATATCCAGGGAATTTTACCAACAAAAGATCTAACCTTTGCTCCCACTCCCCATTTATGTATGGTGTGACAATGAACTTCAAATACCATTGTTTCACATGTTGAGAGGAAGTAAAACTGGATTTACCATGTCATGGTTCTCTTCGGACTACATCTGTCTGGAATGAGATGTAGCCAATGGACAATTTCAATTTTGTTATAAATTATGCATTGGCACTGTGTTGTTACTCTGCATAATTGAAGAACAAAACTGATAGCTTGAAGTTACAATCATGGGAAGAAAATTAAAGTTATGATGCATACATCTTTCTCAATCTTACCATTCCAGAAATTGAGCATTAACGTAGTATGCAACTTGCCACAGTTAAAGTGGAAGACGACTTCTTATCCAATCTGTAAATTAAGCAGATTAGTTATTCTCTTGACTTGATCCAAGAGAATGAATTTCTCTTTTCATTAAATGCAAGGATGATAAAAGTCAAACCTTACCTACACTCAGCACTTTTCTTTCACGTTTGACTGCTAGTCTTATTACAAGTGCTTAGTCTGCCCTGATGGCCCTTCTAGTAGCTATGGCTGAGTTGGTTCCATAGGTTGTAGGCTCTTGCTAGACTCTCTTCCATACTTCAGCTGTCATTCAAGGCAAAGCTAGCCTTAGATAACGAAGATTCCTAACAGCACAGCATTTCCTGTTTTTCCTTCCTCTCGATGATGTGGCTCTTGCTCCTGCCTTGCCATTCTTTAATTATGCTGACTTGTCCAAATGCTGTAGTAGTCCTGTCTTAGTGGATCTCCATGATTCACTGTTCTAATGTAGCTCCACTGCAGATATTCATAGCCTTTTCATTGTCCTCTTATAATACCTTGATTTTTGTAACTTATAGAAGTGATCTATATACCATGCAAATCTAATTCTAAAGTGATTTGCAAATTTAGTCTTACATATTGTTGCAAAGCATGCAATTCTATTAGTTGTTAAAAAGATTTGATGTATATGCGTACATTAAGTTTGAAAAGCTTCAGCTAGTGATAGCGTTTTAGATTGTGACTTCTGTTATTCTCCAGATAGCCACTAAGGTACTCCTCACATTCATCCACTCAAAATACTGCCAGGTTTTATGTTTTTAACTTCAAAGTAGTGACAGTTTCCACTAAAATGAACAACACAGGACCATTTTATGCACTGGAAATTGCAGTTCACCAATATCATCAGAATTGGTCTGACATTAAGAAAACACTGCTTTCTAAAAAAAGTTGATAACTATATTAAAAAAATGTAATACCAATACCTTGTGTTATTGTACACAATCCTAATTGCCATACAAAACTGCAGAAAGGAATCAATAATCTGGTTTGAGGGGCCCCAAAACACTTCCTGTAACTGAATATGGAAATACTTTAACCATTTACATTCAAAAATAAGCAAAAGATTTTGTAAGCAAATTATGTCACTTATGCTACGAAACATCAAGTTAGAATGAAGAGATAATCATATCAGTCAGGTCGTTTCAATTTGTTACAAGAATAAACATGCAAATCTGGTGACAGCATAACATGAGCCAATTCAGCCATTTCCTACAAAATCATGTAAATTTTACATTTATGGTGACTCTTAACCAAAGGACACATTTCTATCCATATTTGAGAAATAGCTCCAGTTTTGAAGTATAGATCATACAGACACTGGCAATCAATAATGATGTACACACATGGTTCTTGATTCCAAATTCAGTTAGAAGACAACAGAAGGAAAATTTCAAACGTAAATCGGACAACTGAATCTCAATTCAGAAGTGCTTGCATATTTTCTGATGTGCACTTTCCCCACCGGTTTGACTCAAGGAGGAATTATTTCATATTTACTAATCTAATTCAAAAAAATAACATGCTGTACTCAAACATCAGTAACTAATCAGGTGCACCTAAAAGGATTTTAAAATGTAAAGACCTATTCTGTTGCACCACATCAACTTAAGTTATTCTTCCTTAGAACTCGAGTTTGGCAGACCTAACATGTCAATTTAGCTTTTGGACTTCCCGTAAGCTCCAGCGTGTTGAGAAGCCTAAAAAGTAAATAGAATATCTTTCTGGATTAAGAATGGAGAAAAACTTACTACACAAATCATTTAGTTAAAAAGTTCTCATCCTTTTTATTCCCAATTCTACCACCACAAATTACATGGCTCAACAGCTATGGTAATGAGGAAAATAAAGACATTACTAGAACATAGTATTTAAAAAAAATCTCAGGAATGTACATCTAACAGCAACTACATTGCAACAAACAACTGCACTTTTTGCAATCTCTCTACTGGAAACAGTCCTGAACAAGAAGTGATTTTATGTTAATGCTGCAGTGACTTTTCTGACTACTGGACCATCGCTCTTCCTGTGGGTAGCCTTTAATATGAACTTGGTCGATATTCTGTCTCAAAGTAACCTGCAGCTTTCCTGACAACTCCTGGCTCATCCTCTCCTGCTAAGAACTGTTGCCTGTTGAATGATACAGGACAAGAGTTATTTATTGTACTGTAAATTGTAGTTACTACATTTTCATGCAATTGGTGTTGAAGCTTACCTTTCAGCAAATGTGGTCAGTATCTTCTGCCATAACCACCGCTACCTCCTCCACTTCCACCACCACCACCAGATCCATAACCACCTAAAAGAAAATGAAAGCCTTATGGTGACTAATAGTAAATTTTAACTTGCAGGAGTTAAAACAAAGTCTTATTTTTGGAATAGAGATTTCCAATCAGCACGTTTACCCAGGTTTTTCCCCAAACAGGCATAATTTGGAACAGATCTAGGGAATAATATATTCACTAGTGATCTAAAGAAGGTACACGGTTTTAAAGAGTGCTCCCTTACAGATTAGATAGAAGAAATTTCATACCACCCTACAGTATAATTCATACATGCCACAAAAGGCTAAAAATCAAACTACATGTCTTGCTACGAGCCCAATCCCTCTAGTTTTAACCTTCATCAAAACTCCCAGGTTACTTAACTGCAACACAAACTTTATTTTTGTATAGGTCACAACCTGCTGACTATAGATTGTGATATGACCAATGTAATACAAATGCCTTGAATGCAAATTTCCATCAAGGGGCCTTTTTACATACAGTAAAAGTGCTCACCGCCATAAGGACCAGAGTTCCGACCATAATTGCTATTCTTCATGGGTCCGTAATTTGACGATTGGTTAGGATAGTTTCCAAAATCATTGTAGTTCCCACCGCCACCGCCACCACCAAAATGCCCTAAAAGTAACAGGCCACAGTTTAACTCGCTGCTTTTGTACATCTTATTCATTAATCATCAGTAGTCAAAATCTTACCTCCAAAGTTTCCACCTTCATTGTAGTTGTCGTAGCCACCACCACCACCATATCCTCCTCCACCTCCACCACCACCTTGGTTGCCAAAACCTGGGCCACCACCGCCATATCCTCCTCCTCCTCCTCTACCACAGTAACCTTGGCCACCTCCAAAATTGCCACCTGAAGAACATTAGTAGGTACTTGTATTAAAAACCCAAGAATTGATATGTTTCTTTACCCAGATCTCCTACACCAATCTTTTACCCAAGTGTTGGTCTGATGAATCCTGCCCAGGCTATGACTACCCTTTTCAAGCAGTAAATTAGTCATCCAAGTGACTTTTATTACAATTTCGCCAATTTTCCCTCACCCATTTTGGTGCTCAGTCCATCCTGACTAAAATCACAATGTTAGTTTTTTTGCATCATAGTACACTAATACTTTTAAATCGTCGATCTCGAACCTATAAATGTTCGACTTCCGGGAAATTTTGGCGGGGGTGGTAGAAGCTAATTTGAGACTTAAAGAATGCTACGTCAATGTAAAGTATATCATAATTTAAAAAATTACACTTTCTTCTTGTTCTTCAAACCGATTAGTACAGCTGGAAAATAAAGTCACGAAATGCAAAATGTTTTTAAGCATAGGTGTAACTACATTAATCTTCAACTTATTACAATTAAGTGAAATTCAAATGTTTTTATTTTGCTTATTCTGTTTTTATAAAGATTTCACACTCATCTAGTGTAGGTTTCATAACTTAAATTACAGTGAAGTCACTTCATTCGCAAATATGCTTACCTGCCATCAAAAAAACTAGTAAGAAATATGGAAGGAGGAAAAGCATCTACATGAATGTAAGCCAAACTAAGATATGAAAGATGCCAATCACATACTGCGATGTATCCCCTGGACTATGAAGTAGATGGCACACATGCATTATGATACTTACTGGAGTGTTTGCATGCGAGTTGATAGTAGTTGCCACTCTGCTGCAGGAAAGCTTTATAATAATGAAGTTTGACAAACCGTATATAGTATTTTGTTAAAAGAAATTTTCCAGTAGGAAACCTCAATGTGCATTAAGAATATTGTTTGTACGGTCATTCATCTTCCACTGTACGTATTTAAATTTTGGATGGTTGGAACCTGACCACTGACTTCCAATATGAAGTAGGTTCAGCACTTGCAAGATTTTTCAAAAACATAAGCCCCACACTGACAGGATTTTATGAGTAGAGGTCACTACTTTCTCTTGTGATTTTCCCACCCTACCAAGACCATTTCCATGCTAAAGTAGCGAGAAGCAAAACTCATTCGCAATAAAATGCAATGCAATGGAATGGAATGGACATTGGTGACTGCAGTGATTAAAGTCATCATTAATTAGTTTTAAAAGGCACCTTAATATTCTGAACTTATTTAGGGTTTAAAAAATTCAAAAAATTCTTAAAAATGCAAACTCAATTTGTCAATTAAAAGCTATTAAACAGATACATTACACTGGTTAATAAGAAAAGTTTCAAAGTTGCAAAGTCAAAATTTCTCAAATATAAAATTAACCAATCACAATCAGAGAAAGTTGACAAATGCAAATATCCAGTGGAGGATTAGTGCAGCAAAAATATTGATATCTCAAACCATGACTTACCATCACCAAACCCATTATAGCCACCACCACCACTCCCTCCATAATCATCGCGGCCACCTCCAAAATTTCCCATTCCTACGGAGGTGGGGGGAGAAAAAAAAGAAAGCTGAAGACAATATACTCACAATCTACTACATCTTCATCCTGGCCCAGTCACCCAAGATTATACATTTGGGACTCAAGAATTGCACACAAATTAATATATACAAGTGATTCATACCAGGTTAAAGGAATCACTCATATGTTGAGCTATTTTGATAACCCTGAAAATTATTTGATAAAGTTCATTTTAAAAGTCTGAATAGAAATACTGGATGATAAATTTAGAATTTTCTCTACGGGATTTTGAAAAGTCTAAGCTGGCATACCTCTTCCACTGAAATTTCCTCCACGGTTGAAATTGCCTCCCCCATTTCCACCTCCAAAATTACCACCACCACGGCCCATATAATGGCCAGGGCTATTGCCACCTCCAGAACTACCGCGTCCTTAGAAAGGAGAAAGAGAATGTAAATAATTAAGTTAATGTTAAATTGCTTTCTTTCCTTTACTCCAACCATCCTAACCTCTCCAATTACCTCTTTGGCCAGATCCAATCCCCTGCATCTCCTGTCGTGAAAGCGCTTTTCTCACTTCACAGTTGTGTCCATTCACGGTGTGATATTTTTGAACTAGAAACAAGAAGATCAGTTTCATTAGTTTTCTAAAATGTCACTGCAAGTTTAAAAAAGTGACACTACCCAGCTCAAAGAATCATGACATAGAACCTTTTATCACAGCAGTGGTTCAGTCAATCCAGTGTCCTTGTACCAGCTCTTGGAAGAATCGTCCAAATAAATCTCTTATTGCAGCTAACTGCCTTTTGAAAACATCTACGGAATTGGACTTTTCTGAGAATTAAAAACTTAAACTTGAAACAGGAAAAGGAAGTGGAAAATGTAAAAACTTGAACTTCAAGAGAAATTTTATTACTACTAAATTAGATTTATTTTGCCCCATCTGTCGAATCACAACAAAATTCATGTAACTGAAGATGCATAGAACAGTTTCAATTTAGGCCACTGGAAGACTTCTACACCAAGGTCTCTGTTCTACCCTCTGCAACTGGATCCTCGACTTCTTGGCCTACAGACTGCAATCAGTGAGAAGGCAACAACACCTCCACGATAATCCTCAACACTGACCCCTCGCAAAGCTGCATACTCAGTCTTTTACTATACTCCCTATACACTCAACTGCGTTGCCAAATTTCATTCGAACTCCATTCACAAGTTCACAGCTGACACTACCACTGCAGGCTGAACCTCAAACAATGACAAGACATAATACAGGAAAGAGACGGAATGCTTATTGGTGTGGTGTAAAGATAGCAAATCTCTTCCTCACTGTCAGCAAAATGAAACAGCTGGTCATTGACTTCAGGAAGCAAGGTGGAGGGCACGTCCATCTACATTGATGCTAATATGGAGACAGTCAAGAGCATCAAGTTTCAAAGAGATGATCACTAACAATCCAACCGGTCACATTGATGGGACAGTCAAAACACACAATAACAGCTCTAGTTTTTAAAGGTGGCTAAGGAAACTGGGCATGTCTCTAAAGACTCTTACTAATTTTTAAAATAGATGCACAGCTTCTTATGGTAACTACTCTGCCCAGAACTGTAAGCAACTACAGAGTTGTGAACACAGCCCAGTCCGTTACACAAGCTAACTTTCCATCCATACTTCCCACTGGCTCCGGAAGGGAGCCAATATAACCAAAGACTCCTCCCACTCCAGTTATAACCTCTTTCAACCTTTTCCATCGGGCAGAGACACAAAAGCTTAAATACACGTACCAACAGATTTAAGTACAGCTTCTTCCCTGCTGTCATTACACTTCAAATTTTAAACTTAATGATGATCTCACTGTGTGCCTTCTCTGCAGCATTGTATTCCTCACTCTGGTTCTATTACCCTAATGCACTTTGAATGGTATGATTTGCCTGTATTGCATGCAAAACTTTTCACTGTACCTAGGTACGTGTGACAATAATAAATCAAAATCACACAACTGGATCAGAAACCCTATTGAGAGCAATCTGGTCTTCCTAAAGGAAGCAACTAAAACTAGTTAACATTAGGTCAGAGTAAGAATTTTCTTGAGGCTCTTGTGGCACACTGGTAGTGTCTGGAACGCTGGACCAGAAGATTCAGGTCCAAATTCCATTTGTTGCAGAAGTGTTAACATCTCTTAACAGGTAGATTAGAAAATAAACACCCAAATAAAATTCCACTCAATTGAAAACAATTGCATTTGATAATGCAAAACTAGCAGAACACAGAACCTTTTTAGGTGTTCTTGAGTCGAGAGGTCTGGATTCAAGTCCCACCCGTCCCAAAGATGTCTAATATCATCTATGATGAAGATAACTACATAATATGTATTAAAAAAAAAGAATTTTTGGTGGGGGTCTCGAGGCACAGTCCTAGTACCCAGAGTCCTGAGCCAAGAGGCCCGCATTTAAGTACCACCTGCTCCACAGGTGAACAATTGCATCTCTGAACTGATGATTAAAAAGAAAAAAAAAAGTATGTTTGCTGTTCCATCAAATACAATGGCTGATGCCTGGACTCCCTAAACTACTGTTTTGCAGATTAAGCCTAGCATAACATTGATGGTTCAGAGTTGTGCCAAGTAGTCCACCTGTGCCATGCAAAAGTAGGGATGCAAATTCCAACAGCAGCTTCTAGCCAAATAATAACATGCTGCACTGGTTAAAGATGTAAATTCCTAGATCTTATTTGAGGACTGATGCGAACAATGACAGGATCATATTCAGATTACATATGAGCAGAGGGTGTAAGGGTTATTTTGCTAAGTGCCCTCAAACTCAAGCAGATCTACTGCAAATATGTACAGTTAGCATCACAAGCAAAGCATTTTCAGGGCCACTGTCTGTACATGCTTTTTATATGTTCAAACACAGTAGATTGAATGTGGTATTGTGGACAAAAGACCATGCAACTAAGTCCAAGGACAGAAAGTTGGGATACCAAATCACTCTGGATTTACCTTGTTTCTGTCCTGGTTAGTTTGTTGACACTACTGCAAAGAATAAGCCACTCACCGACAATTTTGTCGACAGAGTCATGATCATCAAATGTGACAAAGGCAAACCCTCGTTTTTTTCCACTTCCACGATCAGTCATAACTTCAATATTTTCAATCTTGCCATACTTCTCAAAATAATCTCTCAGATGATATTCTTCAGTATCTTCTTTGATACCGCCAACAAATATTTTTTTCACTGTTAAATGGGCACCAGGTTTTGTAGAATCCTGCAAACAAAATCGTAAGTTAGTGCTGTTCTTCATTTTTGAAGATCATATGAACTCCTATAAATTACAACTTACCTCTCTTGACACTGCTCTTTTTGGTTCTACAACACGACCATCAACTTTGTGTGGCCGTGCAGACATTGCAGCATCCACCTCCGACACAGAAGAGTAAGTGACAAACCCAAAACCTCTTGAACGTTTTGTTTGTGGTTCTCTCATAACCTAAAAACAAAAGATAAAACAATTTAGGGTAAAGTGGAAACAGACATATATGACCCATTTCTTTGTTATGTGATTGAGCTAAATTAAAATGGCTTTCAATGTAAATTCAGAAAAGGTGCCATGTCTATGCAAAAAACTACTCACCAATAACCAAAACACTACAGAAGATGCAACAACAGTTAATATTAACCAACATCAAGGCAAAATATGGCAAGGTTGGACAATGAGCCAGCTAAAAACTGACTGAACGATGGAAAAGACCTCCAGCACCGGACTCTAACTCAACACAATAAGATGATGGTCAAGATGGTCAACAGTCCAATATTATAGCAGGCATCCCAACAGCAGTTTTCAAGGAAGTGCCCTTACCCCCATCCACCACCCCCATTCACAATTCCTTCACATATAGCACAACCGTGACACACCATAAGAAGATCTGAACAATATTCAGGATTTGGCTGGCAACTGCAGGTAACATTCACATTACAAAAGCACCAGACAACAACTATTCCGAGCAAAAGAATGGACTGCCATTTCCATCAGTAGCAAGGCAATCACTGTTCTACACAATGTTTGTGTAAAAGTGCAAAGGGAAGTGTGGCTGTCACCAACATGGAGACAATCAAACTGGACCAATTATACCAACACAGCACGAGTGCCCTGGCTACTGATCCTCAAAATCTATCCATTGTCACCAGCAGTGATGCACATTCTCCACTTGATCTGCAACCCAGCTGCCCTGAAGATGCTTTGCATCATTCAAAGTAGGCCAACTTATTCAACTAGTACGCTGAACAGGTGTCTGTATCCAGTGGCTGCCGTATATACGAAGTTACAAATATTACTTCGGCAAAGTCATATTCTGAGGTAAGACCAATAATTGCTGTGGAGGTATATCCAAACTATGCACTATCCTAACTTTGACTTAATTTACAATGTCGACAGAATCTTTAATCCCTCACCTATCACCCAGAATCACCACAAGGATTCCAGTGTTTCAAGAAGGCCAACCTTTCAGAAAAAAAAACCAGGACATGTTGTAAATCAGAGATAGTAGGAACTGCAGATTCTGGAGAATCCAAGACAACAAGGTGCAGGGCTGGATGAACACAGCAGGCCAAGCAGCATCATAGGAGCAGAAAGGCTGACGTTTCGGGCCGAGACCCTTCATCAGAAAAGGGGGTTCTGAAATAAATAGGGAGAGAGTGGGAGGCGGATAGAAGATGGATAGAGGAGAGGACAGGTGGAGAGGAAACAAACAGGTCGAAGAGGCGGGGATGGAGCCAGTAAAGGTGAGTGTAGGTGGGGAGTTAGGAAGGGGATAGGTCAGTCCAGGAAGGACGGACAGGTCAAGGGGGCGGGATGAGGTTAGTTGGTAGGAGATGGGGGTACGGCTTGAGGTGGGAGGAAGAACAGGTTAGGGAGGCGGGGACGAGCTGGACTGGTTTTGGGATGCGGTGGGGGAGGGGAGATTTTGAAGCTTGTGAAATCCACATTGATACCATTGGGCTGCAGGGTTCCCAAGCGGAATATGAGTTGCTGTTCCTGCAACCTTCGGGTGGCATCGTTGTGGCACTGCAGGAGGCCCAGGATGGACATGTCGTCTGAGGAATGGGAGGGGGAGTTGAAATGTATCGCGACTGGGAGGTGCAGTTGTTTATTGCGAACCGAGCGTAGGTGTTCTGCAAAGCGGTCCCCAAGCCTCCGCTTGGTTTCCCCGATGTATAGGAAGCCACACCGGGTACAGCGGATGCAGTATACCACATTGGCAGATGTGCAGGTGAACATCTGCTTGATGTGGAAAGTCTTCTTGGGGCCTATGTGGGCTTTCCTTAGGTGGATTGGTTTGAAATTGTCTTTTGTAATGGTGCTGGTGGCCAAGCAATACACTTATTTACATCTACAACCCCACCCATTAAATTAAGCTCATAGAGTAAGTGGTACCATATAAGAGTGTATAGGCACAGGTGGGCATCAAGATTTTTACAGCTAGATTTTAGAAGTTGAAAGAACATATTAAGAGAATCGTCAGTGCAACATATAGGACCTTGGACCTCATAAGTAGAGGCAGACAAAAGCTGTTCCTGGCTGAAGGGGGCAATAAATAATTTCAAAAGAAAATTGGATAGATCTTGAAGAATATAAGCTTAGAAAGTTATATGGATCAGCTGGAGGCTGGTATTGGTCTAATTTCTCTGTAGAGAGCAGACATGAACTTGATGGGTTGAATGGCTTCCTTCCTTACTCCATAACACTTACCTCAGTTTGAACCAACGTAATAATTCCACTATCTACTACTTTAGTTACTTCCTTAAACATTCAGGTAGGTGTATTAGCTTTTACGTATCTATATCTGTTGTCTTTAACCAACTTAAATTTCTCTAAGTTCTCAGCCACTCTGTCCTTAATTATAGATTCCAATAACTTCCCACAACAGATTTTCAAGAGTTTTAGTAACCTGATTAGTCAAGGGTAATATTCTTATCAAGATATTGGGGGAAACAGACATGGTAGAAAGAGAACAACTGTTTCTGCTGTTTGTAGAATCTTAAGTAAAAGACATAATCTAACTATAGAGTGTTAGAAAATTGAAACTCTCTTTCGAAAATGATGGTGGATGAGCTGTTAATTTTAAATCAAGATTGATAGGTCTTGGCTACTAAAGGTACTAAAGTTTGTGGGGACATGGAGCTAAGTTACAGTCAGTCCATATCTTACTGAATGGCATAACAAGTTCAAGAAGCAAAAACTTTTATTCTAGATCCTCTGTTCCCTTAAAAGAGAGGGGAAATAGACTTAGAGATAGTAGGAACTGCCGATGCTGGAGTCTGAGATAACAAGGTGTAGAGCTGGATGAACACAGCAGGCCAGACAGCATCAGAGGAGCAGGAAAGCTGACGTTTTGGGTGTGGACCCTTCTTCCAGACCCGAAACGTCAGCTTTCCTGCTCCTCTGATGCTGCCTGGCCTGCTGTGTTCATTCAGCTCTACATCTTATATGAGGAAATAGACTTGTTGACTGACTACTTTGTGGAACATTTCACATTTGAAGAAATGGTTAATATGCCTGATATTCCAGGAAACAAATAATGCGCTTATCCCCTGACCTATTCTTGCAACTCTTTTCTGGATCCTCTCTGTTACATTCTTTCTAATCTGTAAAACAGAATTGGTGTATACAGAGCTGTGACTGATAGCATTTTATAAACGTTCATCAAACCTTCCTTGCTTTTGTCTTAGCTGAGATGATGAAATTAATGTTTAAACCTAATACTTGCTGCTTTGCACAGCTTAATACAATTTAAAGTCACATTATAGACAAAACAGCGCCCAATTTATAAAATATAAACAGAAATTGCTGAAGAAACTCACCAGGTCTGGTAGCATCTGTGCAGAGAAAGCAGAGTCAATTTATAAATATTTGCTTTACTGAATTATAACCTTACATATATGCACTAATATATAACTTAATGCGTATTAGAAAGAAAAAATGCTCTGTGCTTGGGATTATGTCTGTTTTACATGACAATTGCAAATGAGTAAACTTTTCAAAAATATGCTTTATTCATAAAAAAATCTTTGTATACATACCTAGTCACTAGAGAAGTTCAATTCTATGAAGTCTTTGCATATTGAGAACAAAAACCCAAGACATTTCTTACTTATACAATATATTTGAGGCACTGGGAGGGTCCGATAACTGGATGGATTCCTGTTGTACTTCAGTAGAAAGACCTGAGACAGTGCTCGTTCCCCACTGTGCCTTGGCCACTGCTGCCCTAAACTTCAGTGTGTGCCTCAGCACGTGGTCCTGGACCTTGGAGTGTACCAGTTTGCAACACTTGGTCGAGGTCAACCCCTTGTTTTGGAAGACCAACAAATTTCAGGCAGACCAAGCAGTGTCTTTCACAGAGTTGATGGTCCTTCAGGTACAGTCAATGGTTGTCTCGGTGTGCGTCCCAGGGAACAGACCATAGAGCGCACTGTCCTGCATAACGGAGCTGCTCAGGATGAACCTCGACAAAAACCACTGCATCTTTTTCCAGCCTTCTTTGCAAAGGCATGGTCCAACAGGAGATGTGTGACTGTCTCTACCCCACACTCCCCATCCGCTTCAAGGGCAGCATGCAATGATGCACAGAGTCCGGGCGTACATGAAGGATCTCACAGATAGTGCCCTTGTCACCATCAGCCAAGCGACGACTTGTTGCTTGTTAGAAAGGTCTGGCATTAAAACATTCTGCCAAATGACTTTGACAGTCTGCTCAGGGAACAACCCAACTGATCCACCCTCTACTTTTCCCACAGGGTCTTGAGGACACTACATGCTGACCACTTCCTGATGGACTTGTGGTCAAAGGTGTCCTACCTTGCAAATTTCTCCATGAAGTTCAAGTGATACGGAACAGTCCAACTACTTGGAGTGTTCTGTGGCAACGAGGCCAGATCCATTCTTTGCAACACTGGTGACATGTAGAACCTCATTAGGTGGTGACACTTGATGTTTGCATAGTAAATGTCTATGCACATGAAGGTGGCCATCAGGATGAGGGTGGCATTGAGTATGTTTTTCACCCCTTATCCAGAGCTTTGTACATGGTGCCCCTGCAGTCATGGCCCATCTTAGATCTCCAGATGACGTGGAATCTCTTTCCAGAACATGCTAAGGAGCAAAACAATGGTTTACAAATCTGGGTGCCTTACTAGTATAGATTATAGTCACTCTTTATACACTGTGTGAATACAGTACAAAAAAAACTATGATCAATATTCAATCATTTATATAAGGTACAGGAGGATAATTCACTTACACCTTTAATGTGACAGAATTATAATCATCCTCTAAATTCTTATATGTTTACTGGAAATATCTGAATATATTGAATTTCTATTAAAAAAAAGGAATAACTAATCCATGTCTTATATGTTTTTGTTGCAAAAGCCACAGAAAACAGCCATGAATTTTATGTAATGGCTTGGTGTTAACAATAATGAAGATCGATAA